CTCCTTTCGTTGTATAGAAGTTGTTTGACCTTGTTTTCGCAACTCGGTCATATTGGTAGGAAGACTTGGAAGAACGCACTTAGTCCGGATTCCATTGTATGCATAATCATTTCCAGAGTAGGACCGTGGGCATGGTACATTCCCAGACGTTTCGCCGGCATCGTCAGTGAGCCTTGCCAGTCTTAGCACCAGACTACAACTTGTCAAGGAGACAAGTGAAGCCGATCCTTTGAACAAATGTGTGCTAAACAGTTGTGGTATCTCTTCTGCCCTGGGCTATTCACCTTTCTTATATCCTCCTATCACGCCTCCACTGTCACAATTTTTTTCCTTGTTTATTTAGATCTAGTGTGGTGTGCACTTTTGAGCGGCTTTCATAAAATCCCTCCACACTCCACGCTGGCGTTCTCACCACCCCCCTATCCGTGTGCTGGGAATGTTTATCAGAGTCTGCCACATTGTTACGCAGTCCTCCTTCCCTAGATCATATCCGAGTCTTCCTCTTGCCCTGTTGGATCCGTTTGCTATCTCCATGGTTCAAGTATTTCACTGGACCCCTGCCACCCTATCTGTGCTACTCGATGCGCTATTACCCTTCCACTGCGCCTGAGTGACTAATTTGAAGCTAAATCCTCTGAGTAAGTTTCATGGTCAAGCCTTTGTTACATGGACCACATCTATGCTAAAACAGGCCTACTGTCAGCAAACTAGCTGTAGTCTCCGACAATCACTATCAAGCAACTCATCTTAGGCATTAGTGCCAATTCTGTCCTACCACATTCTGGTAAGGTTATTTTGCAGTTATATTAGAAGTTTCGTTGTAATATGTTCTAGATGATCTGGTGCTTGGCTCCTTCCTGTTTGCTTTCTTTCTGGCGATACACCGTCTATGAACTGAGAATGAAAGAACCATTCAGAGTATCGGGCTTTTAGACGATATAAGAGCATAGTATGACTTTTCCGTAATCGTATTCTGTTACATTTCGACGCATACTCCTGGAATAATTAGGCGGGAATCTAAATTTGCTTTCATTTTTGTCGCATTGACATGAGTACTCTGATTCTCGTAATTGTCTTACCTCTGCTTTCCCTGTGTGCGCTTGTCTTAGACCCCCATCTCTAAAATCCACACATGATCTACGTCATAACTATTGGCTCCCTTCATCTCGGAGCTACCAACATCCGTTTTTATTAAGTTTTGGCCTAGTTTAGAGACACCAGATCAATCCGCCTACTTTTTACTAAATTTTTATTCTTATTCCAATAGCTTTTTTCTTTTTTTCTAAAAGATGACCAACGAGCTCCTTTGAGCCCAATTTAAAGTGTCATAATTCTCATAAACAATTACAGAGTGCATGGAGAATGAACTAATATTTTATTATATTACTTTCCCATTGCTCCGGCCAGATGCACTCAAAGGTTGCGCCTGAGCCATATGTTTATATTTGGTACAGGTTTCCATGGTATACATTATGGTTGAGTTAGTGTTTACTGAGCTATGGTTCGAGCCGTTGGCATTTATATAGCTAGAGAATTTTTTTGTTTCGAGGCTATTCCGACAGTTTATGGCAATTATGATTTAAACAGCCTTTTTATATTCAAGGTAAAGTTATATTCACTACAAAAAATGAGCCTTCTATTCAAAATATCGTGAAAAGAATCATTAAAAATTAAGTTAGAGATCAAACGAAACCAGGGCCTTTTTTAAGCATTCTTCTTATCAACTTGTCCACAGTACCATTGCAGATTGTGTTAAATCTGGAGACAGTTAACTGAGGAAAGTTGAAGGAATGAGCATCTTTATCATTGGATTTTGTCTAGAAAATGTCGAAGTGAACCAAGGCCGCGTTGTGGTGTGCCGGGACGCCTCCAAGGGTCGATGCTCGCGGATACCCTGCAAGTACTACCACATACCTCTGTTTGCAATATCTGCTGGCCGAAGTCTGGCTCTGAATTCGGCCCTGGCAGCCAGCCTAACAGGACACGCATCAGCAAACATCGTTAGCAGCAGCGGCAACAACAGCGGCAATTCCATGACTGCTGTGTACACTGGCGCCTCGTCTGCGTCCGTGGCCTCCTCAAGTTCGGCTGGGCTTGTGGCTGGATGCGGCTCCACTTCGGCCTCGTCAACCTCACCCCATCGGTCCATCTGAGCCATTGGATTCAGCCGCCTCACCTCTGCTTTCCATCGATGTGCTTGTCTTATACCCCCATCTCGAAAATATCCACATGATCTACATTATAACTCGGAGCTGTCGATTTCCGTTTTATTAAGTTCCTGATGCGCTCATGATTTTCCGCTTTCCTTTTTCGAGCCCCAATTTTGTCTCGCCATTTTTATTCTCTTCCCTTTTGAGATCTTCAATTTGCATCTGCATTCATGCACAAGTCTACATGGACGCCACCCAGTCTCCATGCTTCCCCAAACGAAGTTTTGACTGGTCTATTTGGGAAAGATATTGAGGCAAGGCAGATCGCAGAGCTTCATTTGACACTATCCTCTATTTATATTGACTATGCTAGTCGATCTCTTTGAGTTCAGTTGTTGGTCTTGGCCATCCTTAACATCCTCTCTAAAGTGGCCATTTAAGCGTGGAAGTTATTAACCGAGTGACTTCTACTAGAATGTCTGCTCAGGCTTACCTTCGATTATAAAATCAGGAGTCTAAAAGATAGGGAAAAGTGGCAACCATAACATTGAAAGAGAGCAAAATGGACTCTGGAATCTTCTCATTTAGAAATCATTCTTTCTTTTTTCGCCATATAATAACCTCCATGCATTTGCCGATGACAAATGTTTTGTCGTAAACATTGGCGAATATGATCTTGCATGCACACGCCTGTTTATATGCTTCTCCTCCATCTGTCGATCTAATACAGCGTCGGCAACTCATCTACAACTCAAGAATTAGCTCTGAATTTAGCCTCTTTCCCCCCCTTTCCTTCCATATATCTATTCACCATATTCTTTATCTTTATTACCTGATGGTTGCAAGGCTATGCTAGCAGAGTTCACGGTCTTCCATGTTTTGTATACTCTACCACTGCCCACATGTGTGGTGTTCGGTCGTTTTCTTTTTGGGTTGAGCCTGTTTTCTTCAAACCTAAAAATGGCAGTATTCAGACATTACCGCCTCAAAACTCACAAGTAATCTCATCGTGGCGCTATGGCTTTCATTTGTTTACAGCGTGTAAGATCACACCAGAGACTGCCTTAATGTACTC